ATCATATGAATGTCGATCACTCAAATTTCATAATAAAAAATTTACCCACCTGATCTGCGTGACAAATCGTGCGCCTGTTATTGGATTGGATACCACATCGTACATACGTACGTACGATAGTGATAGGGAACATCTCCGTGAAATTTAGTTTGCTTAACATATGCATGTACGTAGGAATAAGAGTATATGATCTACGGGATTTACTTAGAATAGAGATAATGACAGCTTATATATACGTACAACATACATGCTTTATTAATTATTCTAAAATTTGCTTATGCAGATAAAATAAGTTATGTATACAGGTACAAACGGCCACAAGAATTGTACAAATGCCGGATATTTTTTTAATACAGTCTTTACATTGTAATAATAAAACAAATAACAGCACAAATCAACTTTTCGTTACTTATCAAACATACAAAAATGCAAATAAAAAATTGCATCATAAAATAATGTAACTTTGTGATCCGAAATAGCTGATAGTTAAAAAAAACGGGTTACGGAAAATATTATTAACAATCTGGTAAATGATTTCCATTTTAAGAAAGCAGCCAAATTTTCGAATTTTCTGAAATTTATTTCATTTTTTGAGATTATGCACTACCTGTTTGACAAATTTATTACTTGAATTTTTAATTATTCGAGAACACTTAATATCGAGTTAACTATTCTTATAAAAATTTTGAAAACAATTTATTTATACAGCAACTAATTTGGTGTAATTCTTTTTTAGATCACGGGAACTATTGTATCTTGAATTAAAAAATATTTTGTCTCACACGTACGGCACCAATTATTTCAATTATTATATATGCCATTGTACATAATGTCGTAATGTTGTAATGACGACGTTTAGAAAATACGCTTACGTAATGTATTTACCAGTTAGTGCATAATTATATACGTAGTAAAACGTGAAAATTTTGGATAATTTCATAATTAAAATTTAAAGTACTGTAGATGTAAACGTGAATCAGCTATTAAAAACCTTAAAATGTAAAAAAAAAGTAAAAATAGAAAAAAATTTTTTTGCAGTACAGTATCTTATTAATTAAAATTTTAATTGATCGGCCGTTACTTTCTGCGACTACTGGGCGTATTTGGCGTATTTCTGTATTTACGATTACTACAATCAGTAATAACGATTTTTTTATTCTTCGATCCAACATTACTACAATCAGTAATAACGATTTTTTTTAATTTACTATATATGTATAAAGCATACAATATATACTATATATATATATATATATATATATATATATATATATATATATATATATACTTATATATATATATTATTTGTGAAATAGTTTTTGAAAGGTGTTATTATGAATAATATTAATTACAAATGTAAAAATTAATAGGAAAATTTTTTTTACAATAAGCGAAAAGAAATTAATAAAATTTTTTTTATAGTTTTTTTAATATGAGCTTAACTATTTCAATTTCTTGAGATAACTCGACATCTTGACCATATATTTTCGTATAATCTTCTGATAGTCTATTTGTTTGTCCATCATTAACAGGCATATCAATCATTACTTCATCATCACCAACCTTACAATTTGTTGAATCCATTACATTATTTATGTTATTTGTATTAGTTTGATTAGTTTGATTATTTTTAGAACCACCTATTAGAGGATCTGATGAAGTTGATGGATTTAAACTATGAGACATCAAATCTAATGAGGAATATTGTAAAGAATTTTTTAAATGAACAGGCTCAGGTAGAACTAAATGAATATCTTGATCATCAATTTGATTATTAGATGGTGTTATATCCTGCTTTGAATCGTTTTTTCCAAACAGAGTAGAAGAGGTATGAGGCTTATTTCCAGTAACTGAATTGACTGGTGATAAAAGTTCAAGTGACATTAATCGAGGAGAAATTTTTGGAGCCGAGAAAAGTTTAATCAATAGCATATATCTTAACCATTCTAAAAGAGAAGGCTGTGAACCTGAATTATTATTATTAACATTAATATTATTATAATTATTATTATCATTAATAACTCTATTACTAATAGGACTATTATTATTATTTTCATTGTTATTAATAACATTATTATTATTATTATTAATAATGTTATTGGTAATATCATTATTAATAATATCGTCGTTGAAAATATCGTCATTGATAAGATCATCATCGATATCTCTTTTAATCATATTAGTCTTATTGAAATTTAGAGCTTTTAATTCGACAAAATCATTGGATTTGCCTATCATACTCCCGAAATCATCAATAATAGCTTTGTTGTAAGACCGATGAGGATAGTGTGACTCATAAGTGTTAACATTGTATATCCACCATTGTAGTTTAACAGCCTGATAAGCACGAGTAACAGCAATATCTTGAGAAAATACTAAAGCATTCAGTAATCCTAGAGTACAAAAGATTTAGATAAACGAAATATTAAATAAATAATGATAATAATAATATATAAATATATACCTTGAAGTGACATGCCAATGTAGCAAAGTAAAAATAGAGGATAAGATACTACGCGATTAACATAAACGTAAGTTTCAACAAAAGAGTTACAAAATTGAGCTATTAATGGTATCACAGGATACCACATGACCCTTCTGACAACAGAAAAAATCACAGTCTTATTAATTAAGGCAGGATAACCAGATAATTGAGTAGTCGGAAAAGAGTCAAAAACATCATCAACTTTTTTTGTCACAGATCTGAGTTTTCTAATGACCATAATAACAACGATCGCACAATACAATATGGATGCATCTATCCAACCAAAAAGAGTCACCCATTGCCATATTATGTTATATTGTTGACCAGAATCACGATACCAACAACTCCTGTAATAAATATTAATAAATATTAATAGATATTAATAAATATGAATATCTAAAACAATATATTATATGAATTTGGTAAAATATGAAATAAATAAAAATATATATGCACATATATATATGTATATATAATAGTATACATACTCTTCGGGTGCATCAAAACCATACATATTAGCGATTACAGGAAGAAGAGAAAGTATAAGAGCAAATGAAAATGCCGTTATAAAATAATATTTTTCAAAATTATATCGACTTTTATATTCGTTTATGAATATTATATGAAGGTTCTAAAATAATTTTTTTTTTTTTAAAAAAAAAAATTGATTTATGAGATATATTTTTAAAGGATACGTAAAAATATACTATAATACGTACCAAGGCTATACAAACGATAAAGAATAAAGAAGAAAGACCAAAGAATACAATTGCCCAAACCTTATATATAAAGGATCAAAATTAAAAAAAAGCTATTGAATATCGAAAAAGAAAACTAATGTATATTGTATATCATACCGTGTATCCACATAAAAAGCTAGGTGTATTATTCCAACTCAAAATAACCAAAAGATGACCAGAATAGCCTATATCACAGAACAAGGCCGCAAAAGTTAAACGAAACGAAACTCGATCTGCGAGATTTGGATAGTACATTCGTATGAAGCCAAATGTCATGCATGAGGCAATAGAAGAAATAAGAGAGATTATATTCAGAGGAACACATGATTTAGATATAGAGATGAATTGTTCCTTCGTTACTGCAATGATAGAAACCATTAATCATAATGTGTTTTTTAAAGTGATAAAAAGATTCGACAAAGTGTCTATTAATATATATATATCAATATGTATATATATCATTAAAAAAAAAAAAAAAAGGAGTGTTATATAAAAGGTCAACAATAAGGATTACAGAAATATAATTAACGGATAATTTCTCATTAAGTTTTTATATATATATACTATATAGAAGAATAATGCAGAGGACTTGATTTGCTCATACCTACTTAAACCAATAATCGACTGTGATTTGTCCATTCAATAAAAACAATCCCTTGAACAAATTTATTTATCAATACAGTGCAGCTGTAGTCTTACGCTATGACTTTTTTTTTTAGCAACTACTATAAAGATATATCAGTTATCTTTTATGGTAATATTTGCATTTCTTATCTATTCCTTTTAATACGTGCACTGCGTTGTACAGATTTGAATTACTGAAATTCGGTTGCATATGTCAGTATGACAAGATGACAACATTTATACTTAAATTGGTTTGGTTTAGGATTTCAAATATTCCCGATCAATAAATTGAGATCACGAAGATCATTAATGAATTACTCTAACTATATACGTACGTATCAATAAGCCAAAACTTTTGCTTTCTCTAACATCCAACCGTCCAATATACCATATTATTATGTTTAATTCAGTAATTAATAATAATTCAATTTTCAATTAAAATAATTTTAACTTTTAAACTACTTGCTTTAACGGTACAGTAATCCTGCAAGTGAAGTTGAAATGTTTTTAATATTCAGGTAGAGTTGAAATGCAGTTTAGTAAAGACGTATGCATATATGTACGTATGTATGTACATACGTACAACATAAATATAAACTCATATATGTAACAATCTACTAAGAAAGTTAACAAAAAATATGTATGATTAAGTTTATAAAATTCATCTTTCATAAATAATCTTTTAATATTTAATGTGAACGTTAATATTCGTAGTAAGGTAAGGTTAATCAATAAATTTAAAATCCATATATACTATCTTTATTTCCATATCTACACCACATCAGTGCTGTCAAGGTAAAAAAACCATTCGGACTTTCAAGTATATTAGGTTATAATATACTCGAAAATTCGATCAGCCTTTTCTATTTGCAGCACTCATATATATCTGATATACTTTACCTATTTTCTATCTACTCAAAAAAGAAATCGGAGAAACAAAGAAAAATAATTGCACGCAAGTACACGTGTAGTACGAAAACAATATCGGTGATAATGTCACAACAACTATGTTGCATGTTTTACAATATTAAACTAGGTTATTATTATTTAATAAACAATTCCGATAACATTGTTTATAATGTTAGTAAATCCGTAATTCGTTAATATTTAAAAAAACACCAATCATTTCAAAATTTTCAAATCTTTAAATATTATAAGAAAGTTTGTGTTTGGATTCTGATAATCTTGTTACACTAAATTTTTGACTAGTGCAATAAAGGAAGTGGTGTACTTTAAAGACGTGAAATTTTCTAATCGTGCTTAATTGCTTTAACCTTGGCATTAAAATTTTGGTGCAAATGATAAAGATGTTTGTAACAGTTATCAGCTAAATGTAAGCACCAAGTGATTTCCGTGTACAGTCAACTCTGTTTATAACGAACTGACGAGTCTTATAGTAAAAATTTTTAAAAGTTCGTTATATAGTAATTTACTATATTTTATATACCGAACTTATATTAAATTTGAAAAAAAAGTTCATTATATAGTGTGTTCGTTATAAAAAGGTTCGTTATATCCAGAGTCGACTGTAATTAATTCGGTTACTTCCTAATAAAAATATGCAAACATTCACTAATCTCGTAAGAGGTGAGTAAAATTTTATATATTGTATTAGCAGATGAAGAAATAAGTTACATGAAAATCATTCAGTGATCATATATGACGTGTCTGATAGTGTAGCATTAGTCGCTTGTACCATGATATGTTAAGGGTTTATAGGAGAATATATTAAAATAATTAAAAATAAATAAAACACAATAAAAGTAGTGACAGATATTACTTATTATCTTTACATAATATTTCAAGTGGGAGGAGGGTACACTGACATCTTAGCCAGAGTTATACGCATGCAAATCCATATGGGTTTAGGGCTATACTAGGGATGACAAATGAATTAAAACATGATCTTTAAAAACATGATTGTTTGGTTTAAAATAGGTTTTAATACATTTTAAAACATTGACATAATCATCGTTAACGTAAAATTATGATGCAATTAAAATGATTGTAAAATTAATTAACTTAGCGTTAATAAAAAAGATTTGCAGTTTTGCATTTTAAATGCAATGCACTTTTAAGATTTTTATAATTAAAATATTTTTAATTATTGATAGTTTAATAAAAAAATATTTTTTCCGTATGAATGTCTCTCAAAACGATATTATCGAACTTTTTCCGGTACAGAAATTAACAAATCGGAAACAATTATTTCAGGTTCAAATTTAGCTGTCAATATTTTAAAGCATTTTTGTGTTTTAATTAAAAAACACAAAAATCATTTTTAAACTGTTTTTTTTTACCATCCCTAGGCTATACCCAATCAGAGACCAGTATTTGTACACATCGTTTCACTATTCGCATTCCGTTCGTGGTAATTCCACACATGAACATAAGTTAAAAGTACATATGGGCTTGGTGCTGCAAAAAAGGGGTAAAATGACAATTATAGAAAAATTTATTTTTAAGTGTAACTGGTTCAAAACTACCTTGGGATTATTTTTGCCTTATCAAAGAAATATTTGTTTTCTTAATAAAATTTTAAGATATAAATAAAATAATGTAAACATTTTGATCGGATAAAATTCGTGTAACATCCCGATGTAGATCGGACAAAATTTTCGGAAATTATCGTCCGTAAATGTCCATATCTAAAAGACCCAGGTTCGATTTTAAAATCTCTAGTAGAATCTATGGCTAAGGGTATATATTATAGAAAGTGAAAATTGAAATGCACGTATTTATAACATGAGTCTAGACGTTTGAAATCATAGTGATCTGTCTTATTTATTAGATGTAGTACGTATATACTGTTCATACAGTACATTGTAACAGGAATATACTTCCGGGTATATACATAGTAAAGTAGCATAATATGTATAATATTGCAGATTGGAACTAACTTACAAAAAAAAAATAGGCAAATTTTTAAAAAGATTACAATCTAGAATTAGAGGTGGGATCTGTGAATATCTATAAATAAATATGAATATTTGAATATTCAGTTACAAAATCTGTGAATAGTCAAGGATTTGATTATTTACATGAAAATTGCAAATAGTCATAAATATTCGATAAAATATATCCAGAACAAAGCTAAATTTACATAATATTATATTCATTATCATTCATAAATGACTAAAACTAGGAATATTCAGTTAATAGCTAAAATAACTATACCTATAATCTGCCTCTATCAGAGGACTATTTTTGACAGTATATACAATTTATAAAAAAATAAAATAAAATAAAATAAAAATAAGTATTTATCTATAAATCACCTTATTTATAAATACCACACAATACTAACAATATAGTAGAAAAGTTAAATTCTGTGATTTTTTAACCATATATACTATTAAGCCTATTTGAGTCTACACTACAGTATTATATTATTTTACTTAATACCTAAGAATTAAATTCACATGCTATGTATTAATTACTATATATATATTATCAAAAAATTAGTATGCTGTTTACTGGTAATAATTTAATTAAGAGAAAGTATAGACACAATATTTTAGGTGCTTATATATATAACTATAACCAGAATTAGTATTAGCAATGCTGAATTTATCACATAAATATTATTTCTGTAGCATCTCCCATCTGCTACTATTTTTTTTTTAAAAAAATATATTTTTTGTTTTTAGCCATTTTGAATAGTGATAGTTGTTAATCAAAATTTAAATTAGTTTATTTAATCACAAATTTATCAATAGTAGATTTATATATAAGAGATCAAATTTAAAATTAAGAAATTTTTACTTTTTCTTTGATTAAATTTGATATTTAAAAAAATTACTAATATTTGCAAATTTAAAAACATTTTATTTGTTTTTGCTTTTAATATAAACCTAGTTGGGTTAAACTTTATTAAAAAGTTTTTTATTTTTTTGTTTTGTCTCTTATTTTAGATAAATTATTATAGAAATATATTTGGGTGTTTTCTCCTATTAATTGAACAATCTACACAGTTTTATAATATCATGTAATATTTTTTTTCTTTTTCTTTTTATAACTATTATCCTAACAGACTATAAAAAGTATTAGAATTTTGTACAAATAACTATTGTTACAAAAATATGTCTTTAAGCCAAACATATTAGTCACACATCAATTTTAATGTCTGTTATTCCAACAAGCCATAAAATTTGTATAAATAGCTAATATCTTAATAGCCAAGTCCTTGAATTCACAAAAAAAAAAATTAGTTCCTTTGAATACTTCATCAATTACTAATATGCATTAATTAATTACTTTTGAGACTAATACTTATTATATAAATATAGCACCCTTCTCTAGGCCAATAGTTTTACTAATTCTGGTACTCTAGAAGTTAATTTTACCATAGAGAGAGAGGGTTATATTTATGTAATAAGTGTTAGTTCTCTTATATTTATTCAACTAATTACTTGAACTTTTTTATTATCTTATTTTATATATATCTTACAAGAATTATCTTATATTTACTTAATATTACTGATCAATTACTTAAAATAATTATTAGATACATGTTATATATTTGATCTTGTAATAATTTAAGACAAAAGCTACTTTAATATTTATGTATTAAGCAGCTTTATATATATATATTCTTTTTATATATTAATTTATATGCAATTTAATACATGTTTTTAATTCTTTCTACAGTA